ACGGTCAGAGAGGTTCAGAACTGAAAAAACAAGGTCCATTAAATCTTCAAATAGTTTTGTAGACATTACAGAGAGACCTTTAGAAACTGGTCAACCGTTTAATTTATTCCAACTCATCGGATGTACAGAGTTTAATTCTACCACAGCATATCCCAATGAACCAGGTACTAGGTTGATCCAAGTAACACGAGAGATATCTGACCAGTCTTTCAAGTCCATGTCACAAGAGCAGTGCAACAGAAACTTGTACGAACACCAATTAGCACGTGAAATGCAAGAAATGAATTACCTACAACTGCCTCAGCCAGACAAATGGAAATCGCACATTATGAGCCAAAGTATGACGACAACTGGGGCCGGATCATCTACTAGTCCTATGCGTGAAACAGCCTTGCATGTTGCTCGCTCTGCGTCAACTAGTCCACTGATCGCACGTAAAGTCTATTTGAATCATATAACGGGTGGTGCTTTGTGGACTTTTCAGCGCCCGCCAATCAGTTTGCCACATTCATCTAGTCACAGTGGAATTGCTTTGGAGACTGATTGGTTTTCAGATGACGATCGGCAGGTATGGGGCACGGGATCATATTATGTGCCATCTACTAGCACCACCGCGGATTACGAGAATGTGGAGAACTGGCCTTGGCCACTTAAAAAACAATCATTTGGTAAGTTGATTGAGGATAACAGTTCTTCTGTTCGTCAGCAACGGGGGTGGGTGGGTGGAAGGGTTTCACCAACATGAAGGTAGTTGTGTTTAGGTTGCAATCAAGGTGGTTGTTAGATTTCTTAATTATCATAGCTTACAAAATCATCCGAAAATCTTTGGACCCTTACCAAAAAGAGCAATTCCGTTTTATCACAAAGAAAGCATATGTGATATCTGTTTAAATGTTTTATATCACCTTACAGTCTCCCACCAAGATGAACTGATTTGCTGTTGAGAAACAGCATAAAACAGTACAAGTTTGTCTCAAACGTTCACATTGTTTTGCAATACAACTTGATTTGCTTCCCACTGACAGTCACTTACATAATATCTTATACCCACATGGTTGATATCCTTATAAAAGAAGTGCACGCATACTACCATATTCCAAATTCTGCTCGCTCAGTTATTGTCGTATATGCTTTTGCTTCCCGGCTTACCTGGGCGATTCGTTGGATCGTCAGTCGAAGTGACACTTTTGATGTTTACGATATACTGGCGCTTTGGTTTTGTACGTTCACCTATTCAGACTCTTCTTCAGTGACCTGGCCTACTAACCTTAATGTTCTCATCCCAATTTGCTGTTGACTTAGCACGTGTTACGATGTGATCATTCATTTGCCTGTCATCTTATGCTTCCGTAGCGTTGCCAGGTACACGTAAAACAACCAAATACGTTTCTGCACAGAATTATTTTAAGATTCTGTCTCAAGCCCAAAAACATGGATTCCTCCAATCTACAGAGACGGCTTCAATTGTTTGTCAGGTGGGATAGGTTGATGCAAGAAACACGTTTTATAGTATTCCTTTAGGGAAATGAGGTTGTTACACGGAATAGACTTCTAACGATATCGCTCGGAATAAGCTAAATCTGAAGCGTGGTTATCGTCAACCGTGATGATAGCGATATACAAGTTGAGAAACAAGGGATAAATCGGAATAAAAATACTCCCAAAAGTGGTTTTGCCTAGAGAAATACCTGTTGTACTGGAGTACACTTCGATCGTCCCTTATTACAAGCTGTAGGTTGGATTAGAATCTTGCCATTGGGTGACCGTTAAGGACCAATACAATTAAGCACAACTTTTGTGTGTGATTTCTTTGGGATAAGTAGTTATTGTTTCCGTCACTATTTTCTCCCCTTACCCATGAGGTTTTCAATTCATCAATCATTTCCCGAAAGCTGAAACAGCATAATACTTTATACTGCCTCAATATTAACTAAATTAGTTACATTTGCCCCGATAAGAAGAATAGCATATGAGTTGATTTTTAAAGAAAAAAGAGGAACAATATTTTAATCCAGAGGTTTGAAAACATTCGCCTTCAAGGGGGAATTTATAATATGAGATTGAAAACATTTCAGTCCTCGATTAGCGGTGGTGTTGTGAGTTCGAGTGCATAACCTTCAGGCACAAAGGTAATGACCTAAACCGCTTGAATACTGCCTCCACTTTGTTTATAATACTCTACTGACATAGATTCTCTTACACACCACGCTCAATCAATGGTAATCGGATTGCCAAATACCTGGATAAATTCCAGAAATGCAAACACCGTTTGAACGGTTGCACGGTAGAATTTTTAAATATTTCCTGGACGTACGAGGTTTTACTTTCTTTTAGCTAGTTATTAAGCAGAAAAAACAAAGTTCTGTTTACATCATAAAATACCACAATTGGCCAACTACGTACAAAGTCACCTAGGTAAATCAATGCTGTCTTCTAAACCACGGCTTTGTTTTGTATTCCTTTCTCGAGTTTAAATGTTTTCAATAACTGAACAAATTCGGTCCACTTGCTAAGTCATCAGAATCAGAAGATGCGGGACATGGGTTTTGATGAATTTACCAAACCCTTGTTTCTGTGAACCTTTCACCAAATGATGATGATTAAAAAATACCGGAAAGGAAGTTAATTATTAGAACCGAAATTTTGATCAAAACGTTTGATCGACAGACGTGTTTCGTTTATACAAACCAACAACAGCTGTATGAATTTGTCATTTTGATTTTTTTGAGCAGGAATCAAATAAAGTTATTCGTATTACTCATTAATTTGTGTTACCTTACGATAACACCTTTTACGAGACATCAGCTATTCGGTTCATTCCCTTAAGCACCGACGTAAAATAAATAGGCAGAGCTCTCTATTTCAGCATCCGTGGCTTACAAACGTCGTCTTGTAAAAGTCCAATCTCATCGAGCCAGAATTATTTGCACTCGTTAGACACTACAAGAAAAAGAAGAATTCCCAAGCAAAATATTGATAAACAATATAAAAATATAAATCGGCTCTACCTGCACCCGTAAAGCCTTCTGTGCCAAACCATCTTTCTAGAGCGACCACCCTTTAAACGATGCCGTACAAACGTTAAAGACAGCCCTGAAAGGCATATTCCCAGTTACTCAATTTAGATATATTACCTCGTTTGTGAAAATGATTTGGACAAACAAAAATATAGTTGGTAATCCATTTATGTCTCACCCACCATATACCAGTTCATCTGCAGTTGCAGTGAAGCGGACATAGCCCAAACCAAACTTCAGCTATTAGAACGAATAGCTCAGCAGTTTTCAAAGAGATGGATGACATCGATTACACAGCACACACCTGATAGTCAGGCGGTAACAAGGATCTCTGGATAATACACTGCAAAACACCTCATGACAACCAAACTAGAATCGAGTTGCTCTTACCTCATCTTCTTTCAAATCAGTAGTAAGTAACGGCAGTGCAGAACCCTTGCCAAATGGCGAGGTGTTGTTGATTTGCATTTAATTTAAAGTGACTTCTTCCATCAGTTCATTTTTCAGACCGGATCGTTGTGAATTTGGAATAATCCTTTGAAACAAACACCGACTAATCGGTTCCAAGTAAACGAAATATTACCGTTGTTCAGTCAACTGTTTGGCTTTGAAGGTTTAGCGGTAATGGCACAAATGTCTACCAACTAGTTCCCCAACCAGTGTTGCCCACACGTATTTTCTGAATTCACGGGGTCAGTGTTTGCCTTGTTCGGATCAATAGTGGTTCCCTAATCTAAGTAACCGCATTCAACTCGTTTATATAACTTTAGTGTTTAATTAAAACTTAGACCAGTTCACTAACAGACATCTCCGTCCGCATCTTGTGAAATCGCGTGAAATCCACTTAAGTTAAACAGTAACTTTTATTCCCTTGTCATTTTTTCCATCTCTGCATGTTAACTCTTAATCACACTGGGCCAGTAATTTTATGCCAGTTTAGAGAAGGTTTGAAAAAATATTAGAAACTTTACACGAATAAATATTGGTAATGGGATAAGTGATTTAAGTCAGGTGACAAGCAAATGGAGCCAAACGGACAAACGTGTGGGGAGCTGCTATGTGAAAGTGCGATTTATTGATTAGCCCATTGAATGTTCAGTGTAACTGTTAGGGCAACCTTAACTAGCAAACAATTATCAGCCCTGGTAGCTTAAAAATATACACAATAAAATCATCTTAGTTGAGAGTGTTTATCACCAAAATGAGATATGAACCTAGCTATAGAACAATTGAGTTTTCACCATTGTTCAATAAGATCCAAATAACATTTCTAGGCCTATTAGATTTTGGGCGTTAGCAAATTCCCAGGCTAGGATCATCAAAATGTCAAATTCGGAACTTTTTGCACTGCCTAAGCACTCTGAGCTTCCCGATCATAGAATCATCAGATTGTAGATCAACCTCATAAATGCGACACTGCTCAGCCACCAGGCTCGTGAACGAGGAAATGTGAGAGATTATGACTTTCCGGTGAAAACGCAGCCATATTCTTACACTTTTGCTTCCTAGTTTTTTGTTTCATTGTTGATGACCTTGATCCATATAGGACATATTTGTTTGCACTTAACTCGGGCAAGGAGTTTAAGATAAAAGAACTTCATACTGGATTATTTATTCCCCGAAGACATGTTTTTCTGTATTCAAAATTTTAATAACTGTGATAAATTCATTTTGTAACTTTCGACGCTGTTCCGAGAGATAAGGGACGATAGCATTGAAGGAGGTGAAACTCGTTAATCTAGGACCACTACAGCGTCAACGAGGGCGTCGACAATGGGTTGAATGCATGTATTCTGCTTAGTAACTGATTGATAATATAAAGCACTACTTAAATAATGAAATGTTCGCTGAATGTTGAAGTTAAATGTTGTTCCTTTGGAAACATGCTATATATCCCATTTCTGAAGTTTTGAAACTAGTAATTTTACATTTCTTTATAATTATGATATTCGGAGAAAAGGTGTTTAGGAAACGGATATCAGTTAATAGATAAATTATGATTTAATAAAAATAAATTCCTCGCACTTCACCATAGAAATATTTACTAACCTTCATTTTTTGCTATTTTTATTTGAAAATCCGTGTGGTTATATGATTTGGTTTCATTTTATACCAGAACTAATGAGCGTCTCGAGTCACGAGGAAATTCTTTGATTGACGCGGTCTCCGTCCACCAGTGAAAAATACTTTCACATTTTATTTTTATAAGTATAGCATAAACGAGCATTATGGGGAATATTTTGATGAGATTTATTCTTTATTCAAAACTACATACCTACAAACCAGTTATCAAAATCCGATTGAATTTAAAAGCGTGTCAACTGCTTGACTTTAAGAACAAAGAAAGTAACACAAAGATATATTTGCTTTGGAATGAAACACTGAGAAGCATTGTACAACGGTTTCAATGTTGTTAGATCTCATCATAAATAACTATGAACAAGGTCATTAATAAATTTTGGCTGAACGGCGAACATCCTTTCACAGGCGGGACGGAGGATGTTTTGATTTACCCCTTCACGTATTCAGTAAGTGTTAGGACATCATCAATGAACATAGCCAATAACTTGAACAATTTTATCGTCTTATGTAAATTTCAACATGAAACATTCTTAGTTGTGATTGGTGAAGGTAAATTATCTCAAATTGTCTTGGAAGGTGGCACCGGGAGTAAAAGATATAGAGAACTTTTCTGTTATTCTACAACGGGACAGTGATAAAATGCTGCGTGTATTATCGATGGATTAATTTTAAACCGATTATCGCAACTGTCATTGAGATTCTGTTGGCTGGGGAACTTGCGCAAACAAAGGGTAAACCTATTGCAGTAAGCCGTGATAATTCAGTAACAATAAGATTAACTTCATGGGTGTA